ATAGAAAATAGTGTCACTAGCGCCCCCTTCATTTCCGGAATGCAATAGTCCCATTTCCATATAAGGTATGACTGACGGAAAGGTCTGTCACCGCCCCGAGCTGCATGCTGCAGCGAAGTGTACTTGCAGGACTCGGGGCGGCACAGCTGTCAGTTTGAGCCTGTTTTTGAGTTGGGCGTTCTCCGAACACTTTCTGTTTTTCGGCTCGGTTGTTCTTCCCCGGCCCGTGCTCGCCTCCGTCCGGCCCCAGAACCGAGATAAATCCTGCATGAAGCCTCCGGGAGGAGCTGGGAGAGCAGGATGAAGTTCCCCGCAGCGACGCTGAGCCTTTGTTTGTTGACGCTGCTGGAGACGAACGTTCACCGCACGGGGACTTGTTCGCCGGTTGAAGGTTCGGGTGAGTAACCCCCGCCCTCCTCCCCGCGGCTCGGTTCGCTTTCAGTTCTGTCCCGAACCCAGATCAGGTCCATTTTATAATCTCTCAGCTGGTTTTGTAAAAGGAATAACTTTATTTTTTTTTCTCCCCTTCAGAGGAGCGTCATGTGAAACAAACTGATTAAACCTGCTCGACAAGACGCGTGTTTATCAAACTGGTTCTGTCCCAGTAGAACCAACAAATCCTCCATGAAAGTTTTTATTTCTCATCAAACTGCAGATTCAGCCTCTGACAGCAGCTTTCTGTTGTCACCTTACATTTTTATTGTTTGTTGGAACCATAAACCTGAGTTATTTCAGTTTCATATTTGATCATTTATAATTTCTCCTCCACTGAAAGAGGGAGTATTTTACATTTTTATAATTTATTACCAACACATGAGCAGAGGGTTTCTTTTTGTGCCAAAGTGGTTTTTCCMTGCAGTTGCTCTTATAAAAACAGTTTTGACATTCAGCTCCAACTAAAAGTGATGAATTGTTTCACTTTCATGGGGATTTTTCAGGTGTTTTATTCTTTGACTCATGTTCTGTCATCAGGCTCAGCTCGTTGAATGGTTTTATGATCAAAGTGTGTGGAGCTGAACTGGGACCACAGTTTTAAAGTTTTCAAAATTTATTTATTTATTTAGGAAACTGAACAAAAAAGATGTAAAACTGATCAAATATAAAAGTTAAAAAGTACTTGCATCAAATAATTAAACATGTTTGGTAGGCTGTTGTATCATACAATTACTGATGTATGCCAAACCGTTGTGTCATCAAATAAAAAATTAAGGCAGGTAATTTTTATCAAATAATTAACAAAGTATGGCAGGCAGTTGTATCATAATTAACCAAGTTCCCAATGTGACATGGCAAATGAGGTATGGCAGGCCGTTGAATCATATAAAATAAATGGCAGCACCAATGAGGTATATAGACTAGAGAAGAGGCTGGGGTCAAGATATGATAAGCGTGACGCCATCTTGAAACAGAGGATGGGGCTATTCAAATGATGTAAACAATGCTGAGTATTTACCAGATTAACAGGTTTTTTTTAGAGTAGTCTCGATTATCCTGTACTCTATGGCTGTGTCGAAAAACAACAGGACGGGTCCTCCGAAGGTCGAATTTGTCGGCCGCATACGTCACAGCGCC